GCTGAGGGAAGCCCCCCCCCCCCAAGGCACTTGTTTGGAGAAGCAAATCTTTTACACTATTTATACATTGGGAAACAACTTAAACATAATGCAAATCTTGTATTTGCGTACACCTGTTTTGCCATCAGAAAACAGTACGTGAATGCAGAGAATTGGAACTGAGCCCCAGGAAAGTTCCATGCACACGCGCACACCAGCACACATGACAGACACCATGAAGTGTCCCATTCCCATGTGTAGCCACAGTTACCCTCTGACTTCAAATAGCACTGCTCCCACCACCTGCCCATAACTGACAACCCTTCACAACACTCCCACAAGCAAACTCAAGACCTTTTGAAGGTAAAATATCATATTTATTATAGCATTTCTATGTTTCTTTAAGCATATAACATGTATAAAACTGCTCTAGCTTTTTCATTACTTTCTTAGCATCTCTTATGTGTCACTGTTAACATTTTTTAGTATTATGATCCTTACCCTATTTTCCCCTAAGTAGAACTAGAAGTGATCCAATCATTTCAATGTAATTCAGTCCAACAAGCACTTATAAGAGCTTACTTTATGTTTGAACTTGGTTAGGGATTGAGAATAGATCTGAGTAAAACGAAGTGTCATAACTCAAGAAGTTCCTAGACTATTGAGAAATATAGAGATGTAAAGAAGTAAATAAACTGATGAGAAAGTTTAGGAGAGTTTCAACAAAGTCACATCCAAGCCCAAGCCGGTGAAACAGGCACCTCACTATCCAGACAACCAGCTCTCTTCTGCCTCCTCTAGCCCTGGGCAGCCCCCTCGTTCACAAGGCGCTGCCACAGGGGGAGTTTCCAACACCAGCTGCCACTGCCCACTGCCCATTTCTTCCTCTGAAACACCCTTACCCAGATCTAAGTTTGTGGCATCAATATTTCCCCTTTGGAAGCCAGTAAATCCTTTGAAACAACCTGTGCTAAGGGAAGGATCCAGAGCAGGTCCCTCAGGACACCTTTCCTCATGGGCCCCGTGCATCGGAGCAGTGGCTGTCGGAGACCAGGTCTGATAATTCGCTCTCTTATTCCTAAAATGGATAAGAGTGGGAAAATTTCAGATCAGGAGAAAGGTCTCCTGGTTCCAGCCAACAGGCAGTTCCCTCTGTCAACTCCACGTCACTTACACATACCTGATGTCACCTAAACTGAGAATAGGCCAGCCCTCTAATTAAATTACCCATAGTCATTGGGAATTAATAAAGTGTCCATATCACCATTCTAAATCCCAAAGTGCCCATTATTTTTAGACATCTTATTCTTAAAGCAGAAAAGAGATGGGCTAGCTTAAATGAGAACGATGATTTGTTTGTCGTTTTCACTTTGTTCTTAATTCATGATGGGACAGTGTGGGTAGTGGAAAGCCTCAGGAGGGCCCGAAGTAGAAGATTCCCCTTCTAGGCTGATTATTCCGTTGTCTTGGTGACTCCAGGTAACACTCAAATGCACCAAGCACTATCTCCATTCTCGCAGGGAGTCGTCTCTCCCGCACGCGGCCATAGAATCATTTTACAGTGGAAAGAGAACAGATAGGACCCACCCCCCACCCCCCTTTAAGAAAAAAGCACAGAATGAGAACAGGAGGCAGCGTATGAACCGTCTGTAAATCTGCTGCAATCAAAAGCTACCACTTCCCCCTCCGTGATTGGCAGCCCTGGGGAGCCTGGGCCAACATCGCACCAAACACATGGCTGGGAAGCAGGGAATCAAAGCCCCATCTGCTCCACCTGCAGGCTTTAAATAATCAATTCCAGGTTGTCATCACATTTTAGTCTCCACTCCCACCTCAGCCTCTGACAGTGTGTCTGCACAAAGCTAAGTTCATCAGTCAGTTCCTCTAAAAGTGTGCCTGGATGTTTATCTGTATTTATGTGAGGGGAGGGAAAGGGTGAGGAAATTTGGGTAGGGAGAGAGATGATTGAAGTTCAGGAAAAAAATACCTAGGGACTAAAACTTCGGTTTCCAATTCAACGCATAACCTGAGACAGACCATAACGATTTTCCCAAGGATCATTTTCCAAAAATGAACCACACTTCACAAATACATAATGCATTAGCATAGGAGAATATTTTCAAACTATGCTTTTAAAAAGCCCATTCATGGACCTTTTTTCTAAAAGATTTGTTGCAAAAGCAGATGAAGTTACAAGGCTATTTAAAGAATGCTAACCCAATTCACAATTTTCCTGCCATCTTTGCTGGTTTCCTTGATAACAAAGGCCACCTCCTGCCCCACCTGCCCCCAGGCAGATAAAGATCCAGGCCTTTGGGTGTGATGGGAGCACCTCATCTACTCCCATTCTGTAGCTTTTGGACAAGCCCAGTCCTATTTGAAAATGACTTAGCCTTAGGTTCATAGACTAAGAGGATACCAGCAGATGGTACTAGACTTAATGTGATGAGCACAGAGTAATGGATACAAATGTCAAATTACAATGTTGTATACCTGAAACTAATATGTCAGCTGTCCATTAATGAATAATAATTTTAAAAAATTACGAGAAGGAACCTCTGAAATTGTGGAATTCAAGCCCTTCACATTGCGAATGAGAATCTCAGAGTTTAGAGAGATGGAAGGACTGCCCAGGATTATCCAGTTGATTAGTGGACTAGCATGGACCAAAATTCTGGTTTCCTCCCTCCAGGTGGTGACCACTGGGTCAGAGCTGCCTGCCGCCTGTGCATGAGCTTGGTAGCCATTAGTTATGCTTTCTTCACAAGGTTTGTTTTAACGGTTTGACTATTTTTTCCTGCAAAAGAAAGATAGAGTCTTATTTTGGGGATAACAAAACAGTGTATAGTTTTCAAAAGAATTTGAAATTCTTCTCTATTTTTCTTGCTTTGCTGATCTCTTCTTTTAACTCTGTCTTACCCACCAAAAACCCAACTGACCAAACAAACAAATACAAATAACTAAAGGAAGGAAGAAAGGGAAAAAAGTAGCCCAGCTGGGCATGGCTCAGTGGTTGAGCATCGACTTAGGATCCAGGAGATCGGGGTTCAATTCCTGGTCAGGGCACATGCCCAGGTTGCGGGCTTCATCAATGACTCTCTCATCATTGATGTTTCTATCTTCCTCTCTCCCCCTGCCTTCCTCTCTCTGAAATCAATAAAGATATGTTTTTTTTAAAAAAAAAAAAAGAAAAAAAAAGTAAAAAAGAAAAGTAACTTATTGTTTTCTTCCTAATATTTATATGGATATTCAAATCAAGCATGATATTTGATATTTTCAATCTAAATAACTAGGAATAATTTGTTCTACTCTAATGTACAGTTAAATACTAAGGCCTTCTATCACATTAATTAAAATTTAAAGCACAAAAAAAATTCTGAGTAAATAGGATATTTACACAGCTTCTTAAAAATTATCATTGACTCTTTAAAATGATTATACTTAAAGTAACATTTTTGTTGCCAACATCTATTTTTTTAATTATTATTAAAATACTAGTAGATCTACACATGGTCCTGAAGTTAAATTGCAAGCATGGACTTCATTGCCACAATAGATTATCTGTATATGGGGATTTAGAGCCTAAAAGACTGACTTGTATTTATAGGAGAAATAAAGTTACTCTTAGCATTGCAAGTGTAATGGTCCACTTTTCACAAAGGACATAAAACACGCATTTTGTGTAGTGCCTGCAACAGTGTTAGAAGTGACAACTCATGCTTTTAGCTTCACTTATTTTTTGTCCTCGTGTTACTTATAATTTCACTTAGCAAACTACAAAAACAAATGCTTTAATATGACTCTTGAATATGACCCTGTTCCCGTTTTCCACCATGAAATCCTAAAAGATAAATTACATTCTCTTGAGCAGAGTAAGAAATACGGCTCTCTCAATGAGACATGAAAAGAAGGTTAAATCTTCTCAATCCCGAGGTCATCTCCAAATTCAGGAGGCACACTAGGCTTTTATTAAGTGGAATTAAAGTCACAGATGCAACCTCTGAGCTCTAGAAGCCTAGTGTCGACTTTGGGGTAAAGTTAACCCAGATATTTTTAAAAGCACTTTATGTTTATGAGCAGTTGTGAATAAAAACCCTGTGGCTTGGGGTGCAGGGGTCCCAGCTCCTTCTCCCTTCATCTGTGTTTCAGATTCTTCAGTTGGACATGCCAGGGGTTATTGTTCATTTATTCAGCCAACAGTCTTTAACTGAGCACATTCTAGGTGTCAGGACTTCTATCAGGTTTTAAAGATAATGGAAGCAATTGTGGCAAATTTCTCAAACATAGTGGAGATGGACACCCCGCCCCCCAATGCCCTCCACCCAGTGACAGGGGATGGACAGAGGGGGTGCAGCACCCAAAAGCTGAGTTGGTTCTGCCTAAGGATTAGGGTTGTGGGAATATTTCCAGGCCTTTTAAAGAATCTTATGTGAGATTTTAGGAAAGATTTGATGTGGCAGAAATGACCTGTGCTTCTAGTGGCATCATAATTGGACCGGATAAGTCCAGTAGTGGTGCAGAGCCCTGTCTAGCTCTCAGCAGTCACTGCAGCAGGGCAGGGGGAGCCCATCACCTGTATTATATAGAGCAGGAAAATAAAAGTTCCTTTTCCACTTTCCACTCCAGTCAGGGTCTACACAGGGCTTTTAACCAAAGTCCCTGTAACTATTTGTACATCCTCTGTCTGAAAATCTGCTTCAAATCCCTGGAATGATGGCAGGGTCAGTCTCCTGTTTGACTACCATTGTGAGTTTAGTTCTTTCTTTCTTCGATTTTCAAGAACACCTGACCATGGATGTGACACAACAAGCCCAGACTCAATGGCTCCAAACACACTCCTAAATTACTTTTCTCTCAGATTAACCACCCCATCCCACAGCCTGTATCCCCATCCTGCCTCTGGTGATACTTTTTTAAAAATTCTCAGGCTAGAAATATTTATTTATTTTTCTATTTAAATCTAATTCATCAATGACAATCTAATTTAATGAATGTTTCTTAAACTTCTTTTAAGTGAAGTATACAATGTGCTAATTATCTGGGGAATATAAATCATTATGTTGATTAAGGATTTTTTTACTATTGTAGTTAGTATCTAGGACTATGTGTATGTTCAATAAATATTTTTTTCAAATTAAAGGGTAAAAGATATAAGTCCTACCTTGGAGTGTTGTTTAGAACCGTCTCTCAGATTTACACTTACTTTTTTTCACCCTCACTACCTGATCTTAGTTCAGGCTTTCCGAATATCATATGCCTTCAGTTTACCACTGAGCTTTACTGTCATTAGACCGTCCTTTCTAACCCCCTGCTTTTCAGATGTTTCTTTCCCCAAAACTTACTAGGGACGTCAGCCCTACATTAGACTTCCAGAGGTGCCGTCATGAAGCTAAAAGAACAATGTGACTTATTAGCATACAACACATCCAAGCAGAGCTTAAGGCCAGGGTGTCATTGATAGGATAACAGGCTTGTCAGTCAGAGTGAGGTCCAACAAGCAGAGGTCAGAAATGAGGGGCCTATTGTTAGAATCAACTTCAATCAGAGGCTAGGAGCATGCTCACCCCCAGAAAAAACACCACTCAGACAGTGTCTGAACACAAATATGCTAAAGCTGCTAAACCTTTAGGATTATGAACGTGCCTTCATAGCTTAACTGGATTAGCTAGAAGACAAGAAATTTTTCATGGTAGAAAAGGTAAGAGTCAATAAATAAAAATAATTTGAAATTTCTGGAATATGAGCAGGTGAGAGTGGTGGCTAAGTTACTTTGGATGGTGTTAGAAGAAATTGATAAGAAAAAATTAAATGTTTGAAAAAATAAAATTTTACCTAGTTAAAAATTTTCGCTAAATTTAACATTTCTTTTATGCACCCTGGTGTCCCTCTTCCCATCCCCATCCATCAACATAATTAAAAAGCACAATGTTAAGTCAGTTTTAGGATTTACTTGTTTTTTGAGCAAAGCTAAATAAATGAAAGAAATGGATGTAT